GGACCAGTCAAGGGTCCATCAAGGAAAGTGGGGAAATGTTGAGCGGCTTCTACTGTATTGACTTCAGGAGAACATGAACATCTGGGAGCTGATGAAGATAAAACAATATAATTCAATCAAACATTTGAATCAAGCGAGTGTTTCTGTGATTTGGTCCAAAGCAGTAAAGACCGAGTCTCTGAGGATAAAGATCTTCTGAGGCTCTACAGTTTAATTTAAAAAAAAAAGAAGTTCATCAGAAACCATGAGAGGAATCTGCACGTTTCTCCCACTAAACGTCAGAAGAACATCAAACCATCCAGGAATCTTGAGGAACTTCAGGAGGAATGTCAACATCTCTGAAATACTTCATCCATCCCATCCTGACAGAACCACCTGGATCAGCATCGCTGGATAACCTTTATCCTGCTTTACATCCATCATCTTCTCAGTTTGCTGAGCAGAGACGAAGACCTGATGATCCCACCAAAGGAGGAGTTCTGAGGGACAGTCCGAGGCTGCTGGGATGGAGCATCATGGACCATCAGTTCTCCAGATGTTTGGCTATCAGCAACCACCTCTGATGGCAGCAACATCTTCTTGTGTTCTAGATGACGGGCTGAGGAAGAGGAGCTGAGGCAACATGGAGGAACTCACAATGAAAGGAATTTAGTTTATTTCTGATGGTTTTTTTGCAGAGAGTAGTTTTGTTTCTGCGTAGGAAGCCTGATCTTTGCACAGAAGCATGAAGTTTGTAACTAAAGGCCCCCCCCCCACCCGGCTGTGTTTAAACAGAACAGGTGTGTCAGCCTCAAAGCTTCATTGATCTCCCTCACGCCTGCTTGCAGAATCTCTCCCCATCCTCGCAGCCAATCAGGATGCTGGCGCGTCGCCATGACAACCGTATCACCAAGGGTGGCGAAGCAGCGGGCTGTGAAGTCAAGGTCAAACATGACGAGGAAGAGAACGCTGCCCTGGATGGATGATACCTGCTGCCGAATCATTTCCATATTTAATAACCGTTCTGTCCGAGTATCATCCTGGAAAACCGCCGTTTGATAAACAAACGTTTTTTTTTTTATTCTGGAACTTGTTCTATTTGTTTAGATCGTTTTACTTTCTTTATTTCAGATAAAGATAATAAAACTACATTAATATGAATTAAACTGGACTCCTGGGGGTCCGGTTCAGATCTCTCCCTGGGCTCACATAGAGACAGGAGGGGACCGGGCCCGGGGGCCTGACCTCTGGGGGCCCTTAGAAGTTATTGTTGTTTTCCTTTCATTAAAAGGAAATTAACTGATGAGAAACTCAGAAAAAAAACAGCAAAGAGAGAAGAAGGACTAAAACGAATATAGAGAGAAATTCAGACTTTTACATATGGAGATAAATCGGTCTCAATTTTTAGAAATAAACAGATGTGATACACACACACACAGCATGATTCACACAAGCATGCAGGATTCATGCATGCACAGCACATGATTCACAAAAGTATTTATGGTCCATAAACAATTATAAATCCAATTAGAAAGCACCAGAGGTCTTTGAACTTCGTCATTAGTGGTTATCAGTCCCATTGAACGGCTTCAGATTGAGCCAGGAGGCTCAGTAGGTTGGTATCTTCGACTGAATCCTGATCCAACCCTAAAGATTCCTTCCCTCCCATGGAATTAATTAATCTATTTTTTTTTTTTTTAAGAAAGACTTTATTTTATCAGATCCATATTCAAAATCAATGAAAAGTCAGAAACAACAACTTCCAATACAACCATACAAACAATTGAGTAACAACAAAAAAACAGGTCGGCAAGCTGGAATCCATGTTTTGTTTTTTATTATAATTTTTTTTTTCTTTTATTTTCTTACTTGGGGGATGAAATAAAGGAAAAATTGTTCTCGAGTGACTTTTATTTGAGATATATATTAAGTATGTCTTTAAAACATGTACCTGTGTGTTTACATTTATCTTAATGCAATATTAACTGGAAATATGTTTTTAAAGGGTTCCATCTTTTCTCAAATAAACCAGCGGAAGTTTAATTTTGCTGTTATTTTTTCCATCCTATAAACGTTCACTAGTTTCTCTTTCCATTGATTTACAGCAGGGGCTAAAGGTTTATACCAATGAATCTATTTATGTGTAATCTGAATATGATCTCAGGAGTTCTTCATGTGCTGTAAAAATAAATAAATAAATAACAATAAAATGATCCGCATGTCGCTCATATTAAACAAACTAAAATGAAATAAATCTAATATCCTGTCAGCTGGGATGTAGAATCCTCTCCCTATAGATATTTAATCATCTGTGACAAAATGCAGATCTTTCTTTAATAAGATCCTCATCTAACGGACATGCAATGTTTGTTTCTAAAACCGTGTGTAACGGATCTAGTGGATGATTCTTTTTTTTTTGCACAAATTACAAATAAAACCTTAATCGCGAAAAATAAAACAGCGTGTTTGAATGTAAGGAGAGCGGAGACCCATTTAGCTCCATATTATTTACTTAATTATCACTTAAGCCTAAACCTCAGCTCAATTTAAACCTCAGACTAAACTTACTGTTAGAAAATATGAACTTTGGTAAAAACGGTCCTCACTCTGATGGTAAAACAGTTATATTTCTAAAGTAAGTGATGTGAGGTTTATATCAGTTTGTCTGTGTTTGTGAGGACGGCGTCCATCAGAGAGTCAGAACCAGAAAACTATGAAAAAAACTGAAATTATTTAACAATTTATGAAATTATCACAATTAATGAAAACTAAATAATAAAGGAACCAGAATTATTAATTTTTTTTAATCCAAAATAACTAACAGCAGCAGCAGAACAAAACGATGTAAGAACCAATAAACCAGAAACGGATGAAGACTAAAGTTCAGGATCCCAAAATGATTTTAAAAAGCCTCCAAGATGAAACGACTCATAAATAAATAGAACAAGCTGAACCTCCAGTAAGTCGTCTCTGTGACCTCTGACCTCCTGCAGGCGGATGTTTAACCTCCCAGTTCCCTTCAGGAAGCAGCCAACCTGCAGCGTGCGCTGAAATCGGTTTTCTTTCTGGCAGCCAGTGGAATCAGGGCAGCTCTATAAATAGATCAGAGGAACTCCTCCTGTGAGGATGAATGTGTTTTCATGCAGAACAAAACAAAAACCTGTTTTTTTTTATCCCTGTC